CATGTTGGTCAGGCTGGTCTTGAACTCCTGACCTCAGGTGATCCACCCGCCTCTGCCTCCCAAGACAGGTATCTTTATAAGAGCAGAAGACAGAGAGAAACACATACAAGGAAGAAAGTCATGTGAAGACAGAGGCAGAGACTAAAGTGATACCACGAGCCAAGGAATTGTGAGGAGCCACTAGAAGACAGGAAGGCAAGGCAAAAGTCTTCCCTAGAGCCTTCAGAGGGAGCATGGCCCTGCCAACACCTTGATTTCAGACTTCCAGTCTCCAGAGCTATGAGACAATAAATTTCTGTTGTTGTACGCCACCCAAGTTTGTGGTAATTTGTTATGACAGCCCAAGGAAACTACCAAATCCATCCAAACAGACTGACACCATTTGTAATCAATGACAAGACTGACACTAATCAAATGTTAAAAGGGAAACTTCTTACTGCTGCCAACTCAAATTCAACAAAAGAGAATCCTTGGTGCTTTTCTGCAAAAGCAGAAATGGGTTGCTAATATGTGAGCAATACAAGGAAGCATGCCATATCCAGATGTCATTTACAAAATGAAAATCAAATTTTTAGATTTTTCTTGATTTATTCAGCAATGCATCCAGAAATAAGTCATTTCATTTTAAATAAATATAGCTAAACAATGAACCAATTTTAAACTTTGCAAAATTCAGGCCAGGTGCAGTGGCTCATACCTGTAATCCCAACATTTTGGGAGGCCAAGGCAGGCAGATCACCTGAGGTCAAGAGTTTGAGATCAGCCTAGCAAACATGGTAAAACCCTGTCTCTACTAAAAATATAAAAATTAGCCAGGCATGGTAGCACATGCCTGTAGTCCTAGCTACTGGAGAGGCTGAGGTAAGAGACTCACTTGAACCCAAGAAGCAGAGGCTGCAGTGAGCCAAGATTGCGCCATTGCACTCCAGCCTGGTGACAGAGCAAGATTCCATCTCAAATTAAAACAAAATTCAGTTGCACCACTACAGAATGTAAATCTGAAGTTGCCTTCCAAGTAGTTTAACGACCTTTGTTTATAAAACTGACAGAAATGGAAGAAGTGGTTTACCTAACAGTCATTAATTCTAATTGAGCTTTAATTGTGTATAGAGCATTAACCTTACCATTCAGTCAGGTGACTACAAAAGAAGGAAGCATCAGAGTCTTTGTCCCCAGGAAAAAGTATTTTAGTCGGGGGAGACTAACAGCAGTAGGAATTACTACTTTGTAAAACTCAGGGATAGAAGGGCTCCTAACGCTATGCTTATTTTATTTAAGATATGAAGAGGCTGGGTGCGGTGGCTCACACCTATAATCACAGCACTTTGGGAGGCTGAGGCAGGAAAACCACTTGAGCTATGATCAAAGACACTGCACTCCAGCGTGGGTAACAGAGTGAGATCCCATCTCTTAAAAAAAAACAACAAAAATGGGGGCCAGGCGCAGTGGCTCACACCTGTAATCCCAGCACTTTGGAAGGCAAAGATGGGCAGATCACAAGGTCAGGAATTCGAGACTAGCCTGGCCAACACAGTGAAAACCCGTCTCTACTAAAAATAAAAAAATTAGTCGGGTATGGTGGCACACACTTGTAGTCCTAGCTACTGGGGAGGCTGAGGCAGGAAAATCACTTGAACCCAAGGGGCGGAGGTTGCAGTGAGCTGAGACCATACTATTGCACTCCAGCCTGGGTGACAAGAGTGAGACTCTGTCTCAAAAAAAAAAAAAAAGAGCCAGGCACAGTAGCTCACGCCTGTAATCCCAGCACTTTGGGAAGCTGAGGCAGGTGGATCATGAGGTCAGGAGTTCAAGACCAGCCTGGTCAACATAGTGAAACCCCATCTCTATGAAAAAAAAAAAATTAATAATAATAATAAATTAGCCAGGCACGGTGGCACATGCCTGTAGTTAGTTCCAGCTACCTGGGAGGCTGAGGCAGGAGAATCGCTTGAACCGGGAGGCGGAGGTTGCAGTGAGCTGAGATCACACCACTGCACTCTAGCCTGGGTGACAGAGTGAGACTCTGTCTCAAATAAATAAATAAATAAAGATTTGAAGAACTGAAGTTTCAGGAGTTTGTTTTCACACAGAAAGTAGCAGGGTGGAGTCTAAAATTCCTAACCTAGAAAATAAAAAAAGATCAAACAGAAACTTGCACTACAACTGTGATACCAATTGCAGAAAAACTTAACCAAGTAAGTAGAGAGGCCAAGACTACACTGCTGAAGCTAGGATTCCCTGCTACCCTCTGCTGTTTAACAGCACAGCTGCCAAGAAGTGACTACAGGTGCACAAGTAAGGTAGGATATACCTATTCAGTAGATGATATGAAACAAGGGCCAAATCTTAAACATTTTTCTCTAAAACTGGGTGCGGTGGCTCACACCTCTAATCCCAGCACTGGGATTACAGTGGGAAGCCGAGGTGGGTGGATCATGAAGTTAAGGGATTGACACCATCCTGGTCAACATGGTGAAACCCCATCTTACTAAAAATACAAAAATTAGCTGGGTGTGGCGGTGTATGCTTGTAGTCCCAGCTACCCGGGAGGCTGAGGCAGAAGAATCACATTGCTTAACCCGGGAGGCGGAGGTTGCAGTGAGCAGAGGTCACGCCACTACACTCCAGCCTGGTGACAGAGCAAGCATCTGTCTCAAAAAAAAAAAAAAAAAAAAAAAAAAAAAAAAAAAAAAAATTCTAAAACTATTCTCCTACTGATTCTTACTATACGCTTTTTATATTAAATGATCAGAAATCAAAGCCCCCAAATGGTTCCAACTTAGAAAGTCTACACTCAAATCCAACAGATTTTTTGTAAATTTCAACCCACAGCCACACTATCATCCTAGCCCTACTGTCCTCAGAACCTTCCTTTTCCATCTCCAAGATCACCATCATATTGACCTAAAGAGATACCCCCCTGAACTTCATTATATACCAGCCATACACAGAATGCACATGACTTAAAATTTTTTCCTAAGTTCTTTCCCTGGCATTGGGAATCTGTCATAAAGGTACTTTTCAGTGTCACCTGTTCGGTAATACAGTAGAATCAGAATTCTATCTGTGATGTTTCCAAATGGAATAAAAGCAGCACGAAGAACTGTGTCCTCACTCCCTCTGAAGACACCAAGAGCATTCTGAATCAATGTCTCCACACTTTTGATGCAGCTGCTCCAATACCTTGTTAACATGAGCACAGGGAAGAAAGGAAGGGTGGGGTCCCAATACTTTTCTGGGTATAACAAAATCACTTGTGAGGTACACTCGTCTCCCCAACCCTCTTCTGACCTACATTTTGTCCCTGGGTATGGTGACAATTTCCTGAACGCGATCGCCTTTCCCTCCTTCATTATCCAAAGAAAATACAAATATGGTTACATGACTCTTCTGGTTGGTATTCTTCAAAAGCAGTCCAATGGCCAACGGAAAAAAATCTGCATTTCTTAGTATGGCATATAAAACCTTCATAATCTAGGTCCCACCCTCTTGCCTTTTTCCCCCTTGTCTCCAATGCCAAACTATTTGCCCCCAAGTGCCAGACTCTTGGTTTTGGCTCTTGCTGCTTGTCTCCATTCAGGCAACAGCCTAGCTCCCATCTGAGATGCTTGATTAACTCTGCATGTTTCAAATCCATCTCTGGACTCAGAGCATCCCGGAAGTTTACCCTCACCTCTCCGGATGGAGAAGTCATTCTCTAGTCTGGCTTTCAACATCACTGTCCATCATACAGCCGCATCACAGCATTCACCAATCCGCACAGTGAGGCCGTTCTCGAAATTTCCCAGCTATTCTGGGGCCTCCTTCCTCTAATGGGCCAGAGGTAATAGAGTTTGTGGAACAACCGGGCGCCAGTCTGGAATGAGGGTTGAGGTCACGATAACAGATCGCAGCTACCGCTCTGGGTCCAGGGTTGGAAGGGGTAGGGAAAAGGGATCTGGGCAGCGCTAGCGGGCACCATTCACAGGTCGAGAGCGTGAAGCCCTACAGGAGACCTGGCTCATGACGCATGGGGCCACGGGCCCGCACCCTTTCCACTCTGCCCATTCCCGGCTCAATCTTGGCACTGCCCGCGGGGACCCCGGCTCGCTCCACGCCAGCATAGCGGACCCTTCCGGCGGTCGCCATCTTGCTTTCAGCGCTTCCGCCGGAAGCCCGCATCGTGCCCCCGCCCCATCCGGCATGGCACTAAGAGAAGGGGCTGTCCGGAAGGACGTATTTAGATCTCTTAAGGTGACACCAGACCTTAAGGAAAAGGAGCCCACCAAGAGGGATGAACATTCTAAGAACTGCCTGGGTGGGGCCCTACAGAAGGACCACAAAAGTTCCAGGAAGGAAAGCAAGCAACGTGGGAGCCGCAGGGAAAGTACGCTACAAAGATGTGATCGTGGCCTTTAGGATGTCACTTTACTGTCACTTTGAGCATCAAAGGAATCACAAACACTGAGGACCTCGCCACTTGCTATAGTCAGAGATCTCCCAAACATTTTCCCACTGCCAGGGGAAACCTTGGTTGCACAATCTAGGCAACTCTATCTACTGACTCGCATGCAGCATAAACTGACTGCAGGACAGAGGGGCCAGGACAAACCCCAACTGAGATCAGGAAGGGAAGGACAGGGCTCAACTAACCAGCTGAGATCTGCAGATCTCACCCTATGTCCTTGGGGAGTGTGCCAACCCCACTCTGCCCTGACCACATCAGATCTCTGTTCCCTGTTAAGTTAAAGGGGATTAATAGATCGCGCCATTGCACTCCAGCCTGGGTAACAAGAGCGAAACTCCGTCTCAAAAAAAAAAAAAAGAGGGGGAAGGATTAATATACTATAACAGAATGCCCTGGGATAGGATGTTTAACAAGTTCCATATATTTGCTAACCTTAAAATTGTCAGCTTCAAATCAAGAAATAAGCTATCATTGGAACCAATTCATATCCTAAAGTTACTTCCAGTGAAAACTGGAATTCATAGAGTAAAACTGTGGTCAGAGACGGAGGCAGTTTTATGGAGATTTTTTTTCTTTATTGAGAAACGTAAGACTTGGGTACATCAAATAAAACCAATTTCTGGGGGGAAAAATCAAAACCCACAATAGAAAAAAAAAAAGTTAACACTGTCTGGGCCACAGCAGAACCCAGAGAATATATTCGTATAATTGAAAAATTCTAGGTGCTTCATAATTGACCTTTTGATACAAAATGACCTATTAAATTTGCAATTTGTAGTTCTTGGTGTTGAGGTCCATAGGACAAGCTAGGAAGTCTTCAAACCTTGAGCTGAATTCCATGAGGGGTTATTTGGCTTTTGAATCCTGTAAAGAAAAGCACCAACACAAATAAATGCATAATTAAATAATTTAGATATTCATTACCATCTAGTAGATAAAGGAAGGTAGTCTAGAAGAGGGTTTCTCAACCTCAGCAGTACTGACACTTTGGGCATTCTGTTGGGTCTGTCCTCCTGTGCACTTGTACGATGTTTAGCACCATCTCTGGTCTCTACCACTAGATGACAAGGCTCCTGAGGCCCTTGACAAGAGGATCATGACTATGCCAAGTCAACCCTCCCGACGCACCAGCTCTGGTCCTTACCACATGCTTTTTCCTTAGCTCATTTTACTGTCTCTTCTTTCTCTATCTGGAGCACCCACCACCATCACCAGTACTAGCTGACCTTTATTCACTCAAGCCTGCGAAGTCCACAGTCCTCATAAGACGACACCTGCAACACACTCCACGTAACTAACCCTTATCAGGTGTCCCTGTCTCTCCCACTAGACCATGACCCTCGACACCAAGGTCTTTTATGTTTATTGTATTCCCAGAGCTAAGCAGAGAGAATATATACAACCTCAGGTCAAACCACAAAGACAATGCTCACGAGAACAAGGCTTTGGGATCCAATTATGAGAAAGGCGATTCTTAACGCTTTGAGGAGGTGGCTCTTCAGGGAGAAAGCGGCTCCTTTTAACTCACAATCTATAATTTCCTTTCTCCCTATTAACTCATCCAGATGACAGAAAAAGTTTAGGGAACAGCCTGCCCAGGTTACCAGGTTAAATGGCAGAAAATGGCTCTATCCACTGCCTCATTCTTTCAGGATCACATTCACAAATCGAAACCATTGCAGAAAATGAAAATAGCCACACATACGGTTTTTTCTTGTCTAAGAGGTAGCAGCAGCAACAGCGCCCACCTTCTGGGCAGCTTCTTTCTTGGCATGATGAGCCTGTAGAACTGCTACAGCTTCATCTACCTGCAAGAAATCTCCAGGTGGTCAGTGAAGCTAGGAGAACTACTCCACCCCTCCCTAGTGCCCAGACCTAGTGGTGGACCAAGGCCAACCGCACAGATGATTCTAGGCTTCTGGTGCCGACTGCTTCCCCAAATACCCACAGCAGCCCCCAGTCAGTCAAGGCATGAAGAGAGGGGTCAGTGGCAGCAGTACAAGTTTGCCCCCACTCTTCCCAAGCTGAGAGCTGAAGCTCTAAGGTCTGAGCCCCAGCTCACCTTGGAGCGGAGAGACTCAGGGGATTCTAACATGTGCAGCAGCTCAGAGTTGTCGATTTCCAGCAGCATTCCCGTGATTTTTCCAGCCAGGTTTGAATGCATTGTTTGGATGAGTGGGAATAAGCGTTCTCCTATGGGAAGGGTAGTTAATAAAAAAAATCAAATCCCAGTAAACAATGTACACTGGTGTCCTAGTTGGCACCAGACTCTGGCCCCATCTTGTTCTGCAAGCAAGTGGGTCACTCACCCAGCATCTGCTTCTGTTCCTGGGGGGGTGCTGCAGCCAGCATGGAGGCAGTCAGTGGCTCCTGCCCCTGCACATGGACCGCAGGCTGTGCCTGAGAACCAGGAGAGGCAGTGGGTTAGCATGGAGGAAATGTTAACACTTGATGGTGTTTGAGAGCCTGTTCAATATCTGAACATCTGACTACGTGAACGAGGTGGCTGTCCTTGCTCTCAAGTAACTAATTTCAGTCCTTGAAAAACCGAGGGGTGTGGTGAGAAACAAGAGTGATATGGACATAAACACAAACAATTACAATTAAAATGGCATGCTATCAGAAATCAAAGTGAAACGTAAATAATAAAACAAACCTATAGTGCCAGGCAAGCATGTCCTGATACTTCCTTAATAATACCCAAAGTTACTGAAGAATGCAAAGCCTTGTTATACGTTTAAGGGTAAAGTGAACACTTGTATATAACCTTTTCCTAAAAATCAGTTTTCCCTTAGGGTAATTCCCAGTGCAGACTGAGTCAAAGTGTGTAATTATCAACACATTTATAATTACATTCCACATCACCTTAATCGTACCAAGTGTTTTTGTAACAAATGCTTAAAAATGCTTAAAAACTGTCAACATGCAATGTCAATGCTAGTCAAAAAAAAAAAAGGTATTTTATATAGCATCAAGTTCTAAGAAATCCCCAACTTATCGAGTATGAGACAGGACAGTTAAAGAGTAATCTAAGCAGCTTACGGGCCTGAAGGCTTAGTGTGGCACCTCCACAGCAAACTGCTATTAAGCTCTGAAATAAACTAGTTGCATCTAGAGCACAGCTCTAGAGACAGCAAGTTATAGCTTAGAAAATCTAAGCTCTGGGTTCAACCCCGTCCCCTCCTACACACTTTACAGCTTTGACGGTGAACATCCAATCTGCAAGTTGAAGTTATTTCCTGCCTCAATGTACCAATCACATCTTACAGAGCAGCCAAAGATCCAATAAGGTCACTGGATGTGGAAGTGACCCGGAGGCTCAAAGAGCTGAGTGAGCACGTTATATCGTAATGAGAGAGCACTGGCTGCCCCCTCTGATGCATTTCTGAGTGACTGTCATTCAGAAGAGCACTTTTAAGCCCCTTCTCTTCCACTAGTGAGCCCCTGAAGGGCAGGGACAGTGAAATCAGAACATAGCATCATAACACAGAGCAGGCATTCAATACCTGTTGAAGGAATCAAAGCAAAACTTCCTTTACATCAAGTGGAAATGGGGGAAATCCTTTTAAGCATTCTGTTTGGTGGACCTCACCTGCAGAGGCTGTATGGCAGGATGAGGGCTGCGGACACTGGAGGCGTATTTGTAGGGGGCAACAGCCCGGGGAGCAGCAGCAGCAACAGCAGCGCGTGGCGCTAAGTTCTGCACAGCTGTGGGAACGCCTTAGGGAAAGAACAAATACAATTAAAGCCCATCAGTCTGGGCAAAGACCCGTCAAATCCCATCTTTCCCCCTTCTGTGTGCATCCAATACCACCTCCAGACTGGCAGCTGTCAGTCAGCCCTTGCTGGGCGGCACCAGCCCCACCAAAGTCCATAGCCAAGCGGTCCGGGCACTCAGACCCTACAACAGACCAGCAAATGCACATCAGTTTTGGCGGCAGATGTCCGATTGGCCACGTCCCACGGAGGAGAAATTTCAAAGCATGTTTACACAACACATTGCACAGGGGGCCTCTACTGCTACTTTCAAGGATGAGCCAAAGGTTAACATCCAACTCTTTCCGCATCTTGGAATACAGGACATAGTCTGTAAAAACTGTTTCCTTGTATTCCTCACCCACCCAAGAGAACAGGCTGCCTCTGTATCATCCAGCTAGCAAACTTCTACAACTAACCTTTTTCACGTGAGTCACCGATGAGCAAAGAATGTTAAAAGCAACGGACACACCTAGAACTCCTATCGTTTCTCTGCTCCTGAAGTGCCTACCTAAGCACACAGCTGAGATGACAGAACGAGGACTCGATAAATTCGAGCCCAACACACTGACCAACCCAGGGCAGAGCCTAGTCATCCTGACTCCCTCCTCCCCGGGCCACGCTTCTAAAGGCCAGTTTGCTCACCGACTCTCTGAGTGGTAGTAGGGAGGCCACGAGAGGCCGGAGCATTACCAGTTGGAGCCAGATGGCGAAGAGCTGGACGAGGCCCAGACTGGCGTATAGCACTTGGCATTCCTTGGAAGCCTAATGAAAAAGAGAAAAATTGCACATCGCTGAGAAGTGAAGTGGACCAGAGCCTAGACTGCCTCAGAGTGGGAAAGCAGGAAAGGCAGGGGAGACCAGGACAGGTATATCCTAGGCCGTCAGATCACTGTTCCCCACCACCTACCTTGAGGTCTCCCACCTTGCTGCCAGCGTGGATTAGGCCTCATCTGCGCTAACTGGTTAGGTGTATAATAGGGAGGCCTTCCCTGAGCCTGTAAGACAGAAGAATACACCCCAACGCCCTTTTAAGGACTGAACCCACACTAGAGCAGTAGCTCATCTCACTAACCAGGACCTAAGCTAATTATTTAGAATACACCTTCTTTCTATTCAAAAGCTAAGCGGTCAGCTAATGGGGACTGTTTAATTCTACCATTGCCACTGTGGGTGTGTGTGACCATGGCTAAGTCCCTCATTTTTACTTAAAGGGTCCTTATTCTGACACTCTAGATCTCTAATAATCAGAAGTCCCTCTCCCCAACCACTGCATAATACTGCCAGCAGGCAGGTTCCCAAGAGCTGTGACTATATGGCACACCCACCTGTGGGACTGCTGGCACGAAGTAACCACCCGCTGCAGGCTGGAACTGATTTAAGATGGCATTGGCAGGAAGTGCTCTCATTCCAGCCACACGTTGCATATACTGGTTGGTCAGGTGAGCCTTTCTCTCTTCCTTCCTCTGGGCCAGGGCAACATACAGTGGTTTCGAACCCACAATGCGTCCATTCATCTCAGTGACTGCTTTGGTTGCCTCTTCAGGAGATGAGAAGCAGACGAAGCCAAACCCTTTGCTTCTTCCATCTTCCAACATTACCTACAAAATGAGACCAGCTACTTAAGAAATAAGGTGTCCCTGGCTGGGTGGGGTGGCTCATACCTGTAATCCCAGCTCTTCTGAAGGCTGAGGTGGGAGGGCTGCTTGAGCTTAGCAGGTTGAGACCAGCTGGAGCAATATAGCAAGAGCCCAACTCAAAAAAACAAAGCAAACCCACAAATAAGACGGGAAAAAGAGATGTCCCTGGGTGGGCAGGGAACTATTCAGAAGAACCAGAAATCGTGGGTTCTGCTGCAGTCAGAGTCTAGGTCAGGGGTTCAAACTTGGCATAGGATTTACCTCAGACCAACTAAGTCACAACCTCTAAGGCACCTAGGCATTTTCAAGTCCCTAGGTGATGCTAAAGTTCCAAAACACTATAATATGGCTAATGTTAAAACTGGGAACCCAAAGATGTTTCCTGATACCTGGAGGATAGCTATCCCTGGGTAACCACAAAACATCTTGACAGTAGTGCTGAGAAGTTTATTTTCAGATCTCATCTGCCCTAAGACCTCGGTGGACAAAACTCTAACAAGCTCTTAGCAACGTCAGGATAACGCTTTTGCAATACCACTGAATAAGAGTTATAAAATGCTCAGGTAGGCTGGGCACAGTGGCTCACACCTGTTACACCAACACTTTGGGAGGCCGAATCTGAGGTCAGCAGATCGAGACCATCCTGGCTAACACAGTGAAACCCTGACTCTACTAAAAATACAGAAAATTAGCCAGGCGTGGTGGCACGTGCCCTTGTAGTCCCAGCTACTCAAGAGGCTGAAGCAGGAGAATCGCTTGAACCCAGGAGGCGGAGGCTGCAGTGAGCTGAGATTGCACCACTGCACTCCAACCTGGGCGACAGAGCAAGACTCCGTGTCTGAGGAAAAAAAGAAAAAAAAAAGAAAGACTGCCACCATTAATTCAATGAGATGACCAGCTCAGAGATAGGCAGCCTAGATTCTAGTCTTACTTGCCCTCCTGAGGCTCAATTTCCATTATATATACTCCGAACAGCTACAAAGCCACAGGTCTACTGGTTCAGGCAGTCTTTTTCCACATTAAGTACATCATTCACAAATGGCATTTTTCCTTATTTGAAGAGGCTATTCACTGTCTTCTCTGGTGTGCCTGTCATTGCTTTATGTCTTAGTTAATGGCCCAGAGAGCCTCCTGAAGTGGATGTTGGGACAGTAAAGATGTTCATCACTCCACAACTCTGTCAGTGATGTGGGTCAGTTAGGTATGTGAAAAAAAAATGCCACACCATGATCTTGAAAATGGTGACTGACAATTCAAGGTATGGCTCTTTTGCTCCCTTCTTAAATGCCAACTTGACTACCAGGCAGATAAGCAAGGAAAGACTATCGCTCCTTACATCCATGGGGGCCAGTCAAGGGGATCAATTGCAAAAAAGGAAAGGGTAAGGAAGTGGGCAAACTTGCAGCTGGCTTCTGGCCAACTCCCTACTACAACTGATAACACTGCTTTGCACAACATTCCCAGGTTGGGAGGAACTCCCACTAAGAGGCAGGGCAGGGCCACTAGGCCTTTACCAGCCCACATGGCTTCCCTTCCCATCCACTAAAGGACTTTGTGGCATCTGACACACCTCTGCTGAGCAAGACCAGAGTCTGCATCAGGCCATAACCCAAAATGTTCCGATGCCACCAGTTTCCATCCTGCTCGCAAAGTGCCAAGGATAAGCTGTACATCATCCCCATGTAGTCAGCATTCTCTTGTTCAAGGACTAAAATTCTGTAACTGTAAAATAAGGCTCCTACTTGCCCTGCTAACTTTGTTGATATGATTATCAGAGAAAATCAAGCAAATGATGCACACTATGAAACATGGAAAAACAACCTTCCACACCCCTTTCCTCTCTTTATAAGACCAGGATAGAAGTTCCCAGGCCCACCTCCAGAATCTTCAAAATACCTTAATTCCCAAGGAGAAAATGTGGCAGAGCTGTAGAGACAGGCCCCAAGACAAATGGAAAACAACCTGTCTGGATTTCCTCTGCTCATACTGTAGCACCATCTGTCCCCACACCGGCACGAAGCAGCAAGGAATGGGAAAGATTCAGGTGCTCTGGGTTGGCAGGGAGGGGCTGGGCCAAATTCCTCTGCAGACGCCAGTGCTTGGGAAAGAGTGTAATGTTAATCTAACGAAATGCCATTCTCCCAGAATGTATGCTTTGATGAGTAATTGAAGGCAAGGAGGAATTTGCTAGAAAAATGTAGTTACTCTCAGAAATGAACAAAATTTAAATCCAATTCCTTCAATGGAACAAATGCCAATAAGCCTGTAATAGAATACTACTGTTTTCGATCCCCAAATCTCAGTATTGTAATACCTTAGCACTGGTGATTGATCCAAAAGGAGAAAACTCTTTCCTTAATTTCTCATCATCAATAGTATCATCCAAGTTCTTAATGTAGAGATTCACCCCCTGAAGGAAAAAGATGACTGTAACTGCACTTCTATACCACAAATATTCCCTAAGAAAGTGGTTCCCAAAGGGTGGCCCCCAGACCAGGAGCACCAGCATCTTTGGGAACTTGTTAGAAATGAAATTCTCAGGCCAGACCCCAAACCCAAGGAATCAGAAACTCTGGGGCCAGAGCTCAGCTATCTGTTTTAACAAGCTCTGCTGATGATTCTGATACAAGCCCCAAGTTGTGAAACTACTGCCCTGAAACTGACAGGATCATCAGTGCAGTCACCTTTTGTCACTTCTCCCCAGAGCTGCTCTTGTGACCACTTCACCCCAGCAGGGGTCTTCTTGAAGCCATGCCAAACAAAGGAGTCTCATTTAAGTAAAAGGAACCTGCATGGCTAAAAGCAACAGGCTGAGGCTTCCAGAACAGAGAACTTCTTGATGAGTAACCTCATTTCTCTTGTCTCTGGTTCTGTAATAATCAGTCCTATGTGGTAGGCATATATCCTTTTAAGCCTGATATTCCTGGGGGAAATGGGAGGAAGAACAGACTCCAACTCCCAAAAAACAAAGCCTGCTAATCATAAGGGTGTTCTGCAAACATTTCACGGCAAATCCCATTGCTAGGCTGGACCAAGACCACCTTACCTGATACCGACTAATTCTCTCCTGTTTCAACTGCTCAAATTTCCGTTTTAACTCTGCCTGCCGTTCTACTTTCTTTTGTGCACGGCCTACAAATATGATTTTCCCACTTATTTCTTTTCCATTCATCTCTTCCACAGCCTAGAGAGGAAAAATACGCCTTTAAAATCAAGTTACAGAGATGGGGCCTTATTCTAAAGGTCTAAGTCCCAACTTAGGACTGAAAACTAAATTCATTCCACCTGTCACACAAATCCAAACTTCCTCATCTGTAAAGTGAGGTTAATATTTAAATGGGTTATTGATCTAGATAATATAGAGACAGTACAGGTGTATAAACACAATTGTGGTGACATGAGCCTAGGGTGATAATCTTCTGGCTGCCAGTAAATTCTGCAGGTGCTTGTGTGGGTACTGAAGCGATAAATGTTGAGGGTCTGGCACAATGCTTTGCCCACAAGTAGCTGCTGTGCTGTTATCAAATCAGCACTCCCTGGGCTTTAGTCCTCTCACCTATGTAGGGAACAAACATCTGTCTTATTCTTTCCATAACTGGTAGCTGAGGTGACAGGTATGTGCCAAGTGCTTTGTAAACACCTACACAATACATTAGCATGTGGAACCCAGGAAGATGATCACAGAGTATAGTAATGAATGATACATCTACTACTAGATACTCGGACCATCCCAGCTCTAGCTAGATGCTAGCAAGACCCTACCCATACTCTGAGGCCACCTCTTACAAGCTTTTCCAGCCTTTGTGGTACACTCACCTTATTAGCATCCTCATGTTTTTCGTAACTCACAAAGCCAAAGCCTTTGGATTTCCCGTTGGGATCTCTCATCACCTTGACACTCAGGGTCTTACCTATTACCAAAGGACAAAACTATTAGTAACACCGTTTCTAGCATAGCTAGAGAGAAGGCTTCCCTCTAGAAACTCACTTGAAGCAAATCTCTGGTGCAGTGTCCTCATCTCTTAGGAACAGACAGGTCTGGTGAACTGTGAAAGGGGACGAGGACCCCCAAAACTTACCAAACTGACTGAATAGCTCTTTCAGACTCTCATCATCCACCTCTTCCCCGAAGTTTTTGATATAAACATTGGTGAATTCCTTGGCTTTGGCTCCAAGCTCGGCTTCCCGCTCTTTGCGAGATTTGAATCTGCCCACAAATCTACAAAGAAATCATGAAGAACAGCAATCATCCAAAGGAATAAAACATGATTTCCAGGGACCCACAGGAATACAGGATAAAGGCTGACAGGAGAGGTTAAAACATGAGATTCCCATCCACCACCGAGGAGGCTCAGAGACACCCCAAGTCCCCAGCAGAAAGAGAAAAAGGCAGGACTATCCTGTGAAGACCAGCCCCAGGGCTCCTGGCTTAGACCAGGGCTACTCCTACCACATCACACTGCCTTCATGAAGAAACCTGATGACCATGTTTTTAAAACGCTCATTTCTGTGCAACTATGTAAATGCATAGAAAAGGTCTGGAAGGATACAAACCAAACTGTTAACAGTGGTCAGTCCTAGGCATGAGATTGTTGGAGCGAAGAGGCACCCTTTGCTTTTTAAATTTATTCATTTTGGTACTGTTATACTTAAAAAAACTTATCCATACGCTGACATTTTTTAAATTTCTTTTTAGTGGTATTTGTAGATCAACCACTGGATAGACATTATAAATATAACCCACCCTTTGGTACATTCAATGAGACAAAGGACAAAAATCATTTTTGCTTCTAACAGCCGAGACTTATTGTCCCTTCTCCTCCCCACAGGACTTTGCTAAGTTCCCCCTCTCTGCATTCTACAGTAACAACCACAACAAAGCAACAAGGTCTGTTATGAAGTTTTTCTTCCAAGGGATGGGATTTTTCATTGTCACCAAGTACTACTGTGGAGCCAGCCTTGTAGTAGGTCATTGATTCATAAGTCAGAAAATGGAGAACCACGGGGACAATTTGGCATCAACCACTAGCGGGGGACCCATGGACAGACCTGAGTCACAGGAAAGCCAAGGTCACACTGCTAGTATACAGCTCCTGGTCAGTCCAGGGCCCTCTCCACTCTGCCGCTGGCCAAGACCCCCACTCAGAGTGAGCTTAGAGCTGCCTTCCAGCCAGCCCCAGTTGCTGATGCTCACAAAACCCACAGACAGATGCCTTTAAGGGAGAGGCGGCAGGCAGGCCATGGCTTGGGCAGGAAGCCCACCTTGGCGAGTCAAAAGGGCTGGCACGGCTCAGGCAGGGAGACTCACCAGCCCTGGAGTGGAGAGGTAGGAGCAGGCCACACTTGGGCCGAGAACCAGTAGCCGCCTTGTGTGTGCCAGTTAATACCGAGGTGGGGCCACGGCTGGCTCATGCGATGGTTGTTGCTCCGGACTGGGACACTCACACTTTGCGGTCATTGAGGAGCATGCCATTCATCTTCTCGATGGCCTTGTCAGCAGCCTCTTGGGTCTCGAAGTGGACAAAGGCATAACCCTTCGAGCCGTTCTCATCACACACCACCTGTCATGTCAAAGACAAGGTGGACCACTTTAGCACCACTGGCCAGCTCCAGAGACATGAGAACCTCAGGGTATCTTGTACCCTATTCAAACCACAGGGCTGCAAGAAAACAAACCATTTTCCAAGCCCACAACAGATTTTCAGTGTAGTGTGGCATTACACACACACACCACCACTGTGTAAGTTTTGAAGTGCTCAGCATAAAACTGACGTGTAGAAGGAAGACAGCGAATTTATGCTTCTAAAGGGATTAAGTTTACTGAAGACCAGAGACACTTCGCTGGTCTGCTCCTTTCCCTCAACCCAAAAGAAAAACCTTCTGGGGCTTTCCAAAGCTAAAAAAAACAGGAAGGCTACTTCAGGCTGAGGAAAGAACAGTGCACAAAAGCACCTGCTGGTTATGCTTCGTGTGCCCCTGAGATTATCCATGGGAACTTTTAGGATTCCATTCCCAGCATTCTGAAAATTCCCATATCCTGATGCCCACTTCCAAGGTAGTTCTCCATTTGGTTATTTATCTTGTTTTCAAGATTCAATTAATTTTTCTGCTAAAATCATTTAATCAGTGTTTACCTTGCAGGATAGAATGTTTCCAAAAGCAGAAAAAGTATCATAAAGTGCCTTGTTATCTATAGATTTGTCCAGGTTCTTGATGAAGACGTTTCCCACACCAGATTTTCTCAAAGAGGGATCCCTCTGAGACCACATGATGCGGATTGGCTTTCCCTTAATCACATCAAAGTTCATGGTGTCCAAAGCCCGCTCAGCTGTAAGAGAGAAACACATTTCAATAGGGATGGAAAACGTCAGCTCCTACAGGCCAACATCCTAAGAACAGATTACTCTAGGACAGCCGTCCCCAAACTACGTGGGCCGCATGCGGCCCCCTGAGGCCATTTATCCGCCCCCGCCCAGCTGCACTTCAGGAAGGGGCACCTCTTTCATTGGTGGTCAGTGAGAGGAGCACAGTATGTGGCGGCCCTCCAATGGTCTGAGGGACAGTGAACTGGCCCCCTGTGTAAAAAGTCTGGGGATGCCTGCTCTAGGACTTTTCAAGGTAATCATCCTTGATAAAAGGCAACTCTATTAAAACAAAAGGGCATCAGATTCCTCCAGCCTGCACTGTTACTAAGGGCAGAGTAAGTTCCAGTTAATGACTCTACTTCATGACAGAAGTCTGAACACCCCTCTGAGTCTGTGCCCTTGTTGGATAAAGGGGTCATAAGTGAAGACAATCTAAGTGGCCTTAATGACATCAAGATCCAATGATAATGCCTCACATTTGACCAAGCTTTACCATTTAGAAGAGACTTTGCAGACTACCACCCACCATGACTTAGGTGGGACAGCTGAAATTACACATTTTACAAAATGAACAAACTTAAGTTTAAGTAACTAAGCTGTGCAGCTAGCTAGTGATTAGGAAACTAATACCAGATTTTGAAAGTTATCAAGTCATTTAGTCTGCAATCCAGGAACAAATGATCTGGAGAAAAAAAAAAGTGCTATTCCTGAATTTAGTCCAGTTTCTTTTATTTTCAATTTCTGAGAACAAAAATTGACTTAAACAAAAAAGCATCAATCATCAAAATGGATACAGCTGGTCATATATGGAAAAGTTCTCTGCACTATCACCACAAGGACTAAACCACGATACCTTCTGCCCAAGCAGACAGTGCGCAGGTGGTAGGCCCCACACCTACTGGTTTCCAGGTCTTCTGACGCCTTAATCGGAGTTCTGTAGAATTCTAGGAGTTTGGCTACCCCACAGGCCCAACCAATTTCCCCCTCCAGTGCCTTGGAATGCTTCCTCAGCTTCCCAACCAAGTCTATGTGTGCGCCACAAAGACCATTTAAAGAACCAAAAGCTGGGCTGGGCACAGAGGCGCACGCCTGTAATCCCAGCACTTTGGGAGGCAGGCAGGTCGAGTTCAAGACCATCCTGACCAACATGGAGAAACCCCATCTCTACCAAAAATACAAAATTAGCTGTGTATGATGGCGGGTGCTTGTAATCCCAGCTATTCAGGAGGTGGAAACAGGACAATCATTTGAGCCCAGGAGGTGGAGGTTGCAGTGAGTCCAGATCACACCATTGCACTCCAGCCTAGTTGACAACAGAAAAACTCCTTCTCAAAAAAGAAAGAAACAAAGAAAAAAAAGAAACAAAAGCTAAAATATATCACCACCTGCCAGCCAAAACACTTCTCATCACTAATGGCAACAAAGATACCCAGATCTGCTGGCCACTTTTCCTTAAGGCTACTATGGCATCTACTGACAATGACATCACCCAGAACCTCCTCCATGAGGGGATTTAGACAGGCTCAGAGCAGGACAACCTGCTCCTTGCTTCAAAGCAGCATCTCACTTAAATTGGGGGACAAAATTCTCCAACTCTGGTGCTCTACAAGCTCAACTGTTGCATCAGCCAGAAGAATTTATTATCACTCATTATTTCCAACAACTTTCCCCACCCACTTCAGAAGGTGGGCTCACCTGTATGGGGGTAGTTGGGGAAAGGGGAGATGAGAAGACAGAACCACGTCAGGAACAGTTCAGGTACAGAGGAGTTTGCTTTTGATGGCTATCAGAGATAGACAGCTGGGATCGCAAACTATTTCATTAATTAGCAGTAAAGGAGCCCATTTCAACACAGCTCCTCGTCTATTTCCAGACAACACTGCACAAGGCAAGCCGGCTTAGTCTGACAAATCTGGCTGCACTTATTTATAGCAGAGAGAGGTCCTGCAGAAGTATGTGTTGGCAGACACACTGACCAATAGCTTCTGCTATCTCTAAGTGACACGACTTTTGTTCAGAAGTCAAGACAGACAACAGCTAATGCGATAAACTATTCCCCAAAATGACCATGCTCAGCTACCTTCTTTGCGTTCCTATGGCCATAGACAGAACTCAGCTTGGAGCACACTGGATTGACGTAGCAATACCTAGTCCCTCTCAACATGTCCAATTCTCTGGTCTCAGTTGCAACCTGAGCAAGTAAACTCTGGGCCTCAGACAGTGAACCAAGCGGGGACGAAACTAGGAGCCTGGAGATCCTTTGCCATAGAATGGCTTGTTTCTCCCAGCCATAATCTCTGCAGTTGTTCCTTTTTAATCTGGAGTCACGTGCAGCCTCTGATCAGGTTTCCTCTGGCCTCACTCCTGCCACGCCTGCAGCATACCTCTCCATGCTCCTGTTAAGGCCACAATCTGGGGTGGCAGAGCACTGTGCTGGGAGTCCCAGCTAGGCTTCCTTTTTGCATTCCTTTTCCTTCTCAGGAGTTCCACTTTCTTCAGATCGGATGAAGTAAAAGGGCTCTGACAAGTGCAAAGGACTGTTATAGCTAAGGTGACAAATGCCATCAGCCCAGACTTTCAAGTGACGCTTCCCCAAACTACCTCCACACCACTCTCTACAGCAGAGCCTGGATACCATCTGTCCAGAGCAAAGCACTCCTCCACTCCAGTGGCAAACACACTGACCAAGGAACCGGCCTGGCTCACGCAGCTCCTGTGACACTAACGCAAGTCTCTGCTAGAGTTTAACGCACAGAATCCTTCCCCCTGCTTCCTGCCTGCCCTGACGGATCCCTTATCAGCACATCGGGTGGTCAAGGTTAGTAAAGGTGGGGGAATGGGCAGGAGCTTTACAATGTAAAACTTTTGCGGGGAATTGTGTTTCACACGTCCCGCCTTTTTGGCAGGCCTGTGAGAGGGCACAAGCAAGGGTCTCTAACAGCCCAGCCCCACTGACAAGGACCACACACAGTGGAATGCCAGTGACTTCCGTCTCCTCCTGTTTTACAGACTCCTTGGGTTCCAACCCCACCACCAGCAACACGAGCGAGTAGCCCAAGGTCACCCAGTTAGCAAGTGGTAGAAACAAGATTGAAACTTGAGTCATCTGATGCCAGGTCCGTGCTCTCAACCTCTGCACCCTGCTCCCACCTTCGGTGGCAACATGCTGTCCTGAGGCCGCCCTCCTCGGCAGGAGGGCCCTGCCGGAAGACGACTCCCGGGGTCCGCCGGGCTCCCACGCACGTGTGGGTACAGCTTCTACTCACCATCAGCCGGCTGCTGGAAGTTGACGTAGGCATAGCCCAGGGAGCGGCGGGTGATCATATCGCGGCAGACCCGGATGGACAGCACAGGCCCCGCGGGGCTGAACTTTTCGTACAGCATGGCCTCGGTGACGTCCGAGTGTAGGTCGCCCACGTACAGGGAGGCCATGGGGTAGCTGCTGGCCGCAGCGTTCATCTCCCCGCCCCCCACCACCCCGAGCCCCGCCAGGAGGACTTCTTATCCGGCTCGCCGCAGGACAAAAGGGGCGCCCTCGGAGCCGGGGCCCGCGCCGCGGCTCACAGGTGGCACCGGCGAGGATGAGCTGGAGTCGGCGGGCTCGGAGACTGGACGGAAACGCGAGGCGGGGGCCGGCTCCCACGGCCGCGGCACCGCAGACAAAAGGCTCTCCGCACAATACGGCCCTCCCCGCGACTTTGCACTTCTCCGCGGTCCTGGTGCGAAGCTCCAAATTTCAAAAAATCAAAGTAGGAAGAAAAATTAAATGGGGAATCCCCTTCCGAAGGGTATAAGAAGCGACCGGACGCTGCCCACGGCGGCCTCGGACACGCGTTTCTCTATAAATATAGGCCTCGGGCTCCGGCGGTTTAAGATTACAACCGCCGGGGCAGAGAGAAACCAAATCTTTGTGGGCGCCGACTCCGCGAGCCCCAGGCGGGCGGCGAAGGGCAGCGCGGACACGTGGTGCGCGGGGCCGGCGCGGGGCTCGGGCGGGCGGAGGGGGCGGAGGGCGCGGCGGGCCGGGCGGGCGGCTCACCCCGGGACCGACGGAGACCGATGGACGCCAAGCGCGGCGGCGACGGGCGCGGGGCAGGCCGGAAGCGTGCGAAAGTGACTTCCCCGCGGGTTCTCCGAGGACTCGCTTTTTCTTTCCCCCCCTTTTTTTTTTTTTAAGGATTTTGAAGCGTTTTCGGATTTTTTTTATCTTTTTCTCTTTTTTTCCTCAGGCTGCGGAGCCCGAAAGCGACGGAGGCGGCGGCGACCCGGGGCGGAGAGAGGCGGCCGAGGCAGCCACCGCTCCATTTATACCCGCCCGCCCCGGGCGCTGCTGGTCGAAGGGCGCCTCGCGACCTGGGCGCAGTCGTGCCCGCCCACTCGGCCCGGGGGCCCGAGGCGGGGCGGCCACGCGAGAGCGACCCGGCGCGGCCGCGCGGCGCCACAGCGACCCCTGGCGCGCGGAGGACCGCCCAGCTCGCGGCCGCTGGAGACCCCAGGGCCCCTTTCTGTAACAAATAAATCGTTAACACCCTCCCGCCCATCACCCGAGAATAGAGCCTAGGGGCCGTTTAACCCGCCCACACGCATCATGTTGAAAATTCAATGGAATGCTTCATTGTGAAATAAAGGTGACATAAAATAAGTTAAAATAAAATAATAGGTGATCCAATAGGTAAATGTTTGGGTCCAAATACAGCAGAAGATTTGTGAGGTTTTCAGAATACTGTTGACCTAGTGGTAGAATCGTCAAGAGCTATAAATGCAAGCAATATCCATAGGTGATGGGATTTTCTGAAAAGATGAGCGAATTTTTGTAAAGCTTCCATGAAACGAAACACAAGCATCCCCTCTATTGACATGCTGGTGGCATTCCTAGACATTTAGTTTGAATTTAAGGGCACAGAAATATTTTCTGTTTCTATGTTTAAAGTTGAATAATTACAAAAAGATTTTTCATCTACATGCGGGTCTGGCAGGTCATTTGAAAGTCCTATCACTTTATGGGACTATGTTATATGGGACTGTCCACGTGCATTGCATATATAGATAGCATCCTTTCCTCAATAAATGCCAGGACCCACCTCTGCCATCACTGTGACAACCAAAACCAGAAATTGCCAAAAGGCACACAGACATCCCCCTTGAAAACATTGATTTAAGTAAACGTATTTGTATATTAAGTCATTCAAATAAATGGTTAATCTGAGCCTACTCTATGCCAATGTCAGTACAGGTGCTGGAGATGCCATGGCGGACCAGAAGTGACTCCCTCTCTCATGGAGTTTATATTCTAGTAAGTATATTAAATCAAGAAACACTGGCTGGGGCGCAGTGGCTCAGGCCTGTAATCCCAACTTTTGGGAAGCTGAGGCAGGCGGATCACCTGAGGTCAGGAGTTCGAGACCAGCCTGGCCAGCATGGAGAAATAATCCCATCTCTACTAAAAATACAAAATTAGCTAGGCATGGTGGCACGTACCTGTAGTCCTAGCTACCCAGAGGCTGCGGCAGGATAATCGCTGGAACCCAGGAGGCAGAGGTTGCAGTGAGCCGAGATCGCACCACTGCACTCCAGCCTGGGCAACAAAGCAAGACTCTGTCTCAACAAAAAAACAAATGAACAAACAAAAAAACATTTATGGGAGTGGTCTTTCTATAGATTCCTTCCTCAGGAAAGTCTTCCTAGACCCTCTCTGGTCTAAAGTCATCCGTCAGCATTGTTCATCACTATCACACCAACTTGTCTTTTTGTCTTCAAGGCTGTTATCCTACTCAAAATTATGTTGTTCCTATATCTGTTTACCTGTTTAGTATCTATCTTTTCCACACTGGTATACAAGCTTCTCAAGAATAGGAATCTGGAAAAGTGCTTAACATAGCATGTACTAAATAAATGTTCAGGAACTGGCCAGGCCCAGTGGCTCATGTCTGTAATCGAGTGCTTTGGGAGGCTGAGGCAGGAAGATTGCTTGAGCCCAGAAGTTTAAAACCAGCCTGGACAACACAGTGAGATCCCATCTTTACGAAAAAAAATTTTTTTTTTAAGTAGCTGGATGTGGAGACACGTGCCTGTGGTCTCAGCTAGTTGGGAGTCTGAGGCAGGAGGATCACTTGAGGCTAGAAGTTCAAGGCTGTAGTGAGCTATGATCATGTCACTGCACACCAGCCTGGGCAGCAGAGCAAGACCCTGTTGCTAAAAAATAAATAGATAAATAAGGCCAGGCACGGTGGCTCACGCCTGTAATCCCAGCACTTTGGGAGGCCAAGGTGGGCGGATCACAAGGTCAAGATATCGAGACCATCCTGGCCAACATGGTGAAAACCTGACTCTACTAAAAATACAAAAAGCTGGGCATGGTGACGCGCCCCTGTAGTCTCAGATACTTGGGAGGCTGAGGCAGAAGAATCACTTGAACCAGAAAGGCGGAGGTTGCAGTGAGCAGAGATCATGCCACTGCACTCCAGTCTGGTGAAAGAGCAAGACTCTGTCTCCAAACAAACAAATGAAGATAAATATTCAATAAATATTTGTGTTTGTATGTGTGTTTTCTTGTTTTTTTTGTTGTTGTTGTTTGTTTTGTTTTAGATGAAATCTTGCAGTCACCTAGGCTGGAGTGCAGTGGCGCAATCTTGAGTCACTGTAACCTCTGCCTCCTGGGTTCAAGTGATTCTCCTGCCTCAGCCTCCTGAGTAGCTGAGGCTACAGGCATACGCCACCACGCCCAGATAATTTTTGTATTTTTAGTAGAGACGGGGTTTCACCATGTTGGCCAGGATGGTCTCAATCTCTTGACCTTGTGATCCACCCACCTTGGCCTCCCAAAGTGCTGGGATTACAGATGTGAGCCATCGTGCCCGGCCTGTTTATATTTTTTTTAAGCAACAAAATCTCACGGTGTTGCCCAAGCTTGAGTGCAGTGACATGATCATAGCTCATTGTAACCTCAAACTCCAGTGCAACCTCAAGCAATCCACTCTGGTCTCTTAAAGTGCTGGAATTACAGGCATAAACCACTGCACCTGGCCTAAATGTTTGTTAAATAAATAAATGAATACTAGGCACAAATGAGCAAAACCCACACAAGCTCTGACCTCATTAAGCTTGCTGTATAGTGGCAGAGCTTATTACCTATATGACCTTGGGCAAGCTAGTTCACATTTCTGACCCTCACATTTCTCATCTGAACTATACTAATAATCCTTATTAACACTTAATAGGGTTATTGTGAGAATAAATGAATACATATGAATACACATAAATTGTTTGGATGAATGTTAATAGCTATTACTATCAAGCTACATTTGTACTAAGAAAAGAGGGGAGTCCCTAAATGAAGGAAGGGAGGGAGAACAGCATCTATAAAGGCCCCAGGGGCCGAGCATGGTGGCTCACGCCCGTAATCATCAATAATCCCAGTACTTTGGGAGGCAGAGACGGGCGGATCACCTGAGGTCAGGAGTTCGAGACCATCGTGGCCAACATGGTAAAACCCCGTCTCTACTGAAAATATAAAAAAATAGCTGGGCATTGTGGCGGGTGCCTGTAATCCCAGCTACTTGGGAGGCTGAGGTAGGAGAATCACGTGAACTCGGGAGGCAGAGGTTGCAGTGAGCCGAGATTGTGCCACTGCACTCCAGCCTGGGCAACTGAATGAGACTCCATTTCAAAAAAAAAAAAAAAGCCCTAAGGGAGACAAACTGGGGAGTTGTCGAAAGTGAAAGAGATGGCCTTAAAACACTTAGGACTTTATCCTCAGATCAAAGAGCAAAGCTGCAGGATTTTAAGAGCAATGTGCCTTTGCTCAAATTACTTTTTTTTTTTCTTTTTGAAACAGGGTCTCCCTCAGTCTGTTGTCCAGGCTGGAGTGCAGTGGCACAATCGCAGCTCACTGCAGCCTCAACCTCCCTGGCTCAAGCAATCCTCCTGCCTCAGCCTTCTGAGTAGCTGGGACCAGAGGTATACACCACCACGCCCTGCTAATTTATTTTTCATTTTTTGTAGAGATGTGGTCACACTATGTTGCCCATGCTAGACTCAAACTCCTGGGCTCAATCGATCCTTTCCTCCACAGCCTCCCAAAATGTTGAGAATGCAGGCATGAGTCACTATATCTGGTCCCCTCAAATTATGCTTTTAAAAACCTATCTGGCTGGGCATGGTGGCTCACGCTTGTAATCCCAGCACTTTGGAAGGCTGAGGCTGGCAGATCACCTGAGGTGTGGAGTTGGAGACCAGCCTGATCAACATGGAGAAACCCCAGTCTCTACTAAAAATACAAAAAATTAGCCAGGTGTGGTGGTGCATGCCTGTAATCCCAGGTACTTGGGAGGTTGAGGTAGGAGAATTGCTTGAACCCAGGAGGTGGAGGTTGCAGTGAGCCAAGACTGTGCCATTGCACTACAGCCTGGGCAACAAGAGCGAAACTCCATCTCAAAAAAAACCATAAAAACAGGCCAGGTGCAGTGGCTCATGCCTATAATCCCAGCACTTTGGGAGGCTGAGGCGGATGGATCACAAGGTAGGAGATAGAGATCATCCTGCCCAACATGGTGAAACGCCATCTCTACTAAAAATACAATAGATTAGCTGGGCATGGTGGTGCACACCTGTAATCAAAGCTACTGAGGAGACTGAGGCAGGGGAATCACTTGAACCCGGGAGGCAGAGGTTGCAGTGAGCTGAGATCGCACCACTGCACTCCAGCCTGGTGACAGAGTGAGACTCCGTCTCAGAAAACAAAACAAAACAAAAGGAACAAACAAAAAAAAACCTGTCTGACTACAAATGGAAAAAGATTAGGTCGGGCGCGGTGGCTCAAGCCTGTAATCCCAGCACTTTGGGAGGCCGAGGTCGGCGGATCACGAGGTCAAGAGATCAAGACCATCCTGGTCAACATGGTGAAACCTCGTCTCTACTAAAAATACAAAACATTAGCTGGGCATGGTGGCGCATGCCTGTAATCCCAGCTACTCAGGAGGCTGAGGCAGGAGAATTGCCTGAACCTAGGAGGCGGGGGTTGCAGTGAGCCAAGATTGCACCATTGCACTCCAGCCTGGGTAACAAGATCGAAACTCCGTCTCAAAAAAAAAAAAAAAAGAGATTAGAGGATAGGTACAAGGAGACCTATGACTGCTAAGGTGGTTGCCATGGAGGTGGAGGACGTGTGTCAATTAGAGAAATATTTAGACAGTCTAATTTCTGATTAATTGGATGTAGGAGATGAGAGAGTGAGGAGTCAAGGACAGCTCCCAAGTGTCTGGGAAATCAAAACAGTTTAGAT